GTTAATTCCTAGAAAGGATCCGCAGTCAAGGCAATGTAGCATGCAGTCTCGATGCACTGCAATAAGCTTTAAGTAAACCTAGGTATATCTACCACATGAATAAAACCAAGCAAAAAATGTCTTCTTAGGTTTCTCGCTGATTAAAAAAAACAACATACATTAAGACTTTTAGTGTCGGTTTTTTAAATTTTAACCATTTGAGATACCCGACAATTATTATAACTAGACAAAGCTTAACTAAGTTAAATATCTTCTTTCCTTAAATTAATTGTCCATTATTCTCACTAAAATTCGAAAGTGGGTCCCTGGATAGTTTATATTCACAATTGGGGCCGGAGGTGCTGTTGTCGAGATCCAGAAATCACCCGAGCAAAGCCGGGGCATATCGCTTGTTTATAAATGAAAATCAAGTATTTCTTATCTGAATTGTATATAAGGTAAAGTAAAATTTTCAACACGCTTAATGCGGTGTACATGTATAAATGTAATGGAATTTCGTAATTCACTTTTAGCCAAAATAATCTAAATTTTACAGACGTTTAGAAGAATCAATGACAATACAATAATTTCTTAAAGTTGTTAAAATTAATTTGCTGACATCCGCGAAATAACATAATATGATGGGTCTAACCTAGTTTGAAAAGCACCTCCCGCCTACCTCAATTGCGTGCACTATACCGTCACCCTTCTCCCAGCACCACTACTCCCAACACCACTAGACTAGACAAGACATACCCCCGTCGATAATATATCGACGGGGGTATGTCTTGTTTGTGGTGCCAGCTTAGCAATTTTTTTTTACATCTTCAATATAATGGATTTCCGCATAATAACGACTGATTCCAATAATTCGTGACTGACGCCGCAAAGGGACGAACCTAATTATTTATTATCTGTAGATACCTGCTATCAATTAACCGAAGAAAATAAATTGTGTTTGTAGTTTACCATTAAATTTAATATTTTTAATTTTCGATGAAAAAAGCTAGTAATCGGGGAATAATAAATGTTATCTTGCTCTCCTGTAATTTTTTTAAAAATTGAGGTTCGCCGCTTTGCTGTGTTAGTGTCGAATTACTAACTTTAAAATTAAATTAACTACTGTATAAGTAATTAGTATACTCGCTGAAATCAGTGAACTACATAGTCAAGGCGAGCTGCTTAAAAACCATTTAATTCCAATATTATTTTAGACGAGCGATTCGCTCTGGCTTCGGCTGGATATGATCAGTTAATGTTGCATTATTTATATTAAAGATATTCAATAACCATTTATTTCAAAAAATTTCCGTTTTTTTTATAAAAACAAACTCAATCTTTCGGATAAAATATAGCTTAGACTCCTCCTCGCGTTGCTCTCTGCTTGTTAGTAACGATTCATCACAATCGAATCAGTCATTACAAAGATCAACCCGATAGACAAATAGAGAGACAGACAAAAATTTTATGTTTTTCCTGTAAGGCAGTTCACATACAAACGGAATTCGGTTTTAGGATTCCTTTTCGGGATTCCGATTCGGGATTCCGAACACAGCAAGTCCATATAAAATTAATGATCCATCACACACCTACGGTAGTTTTCCGTACGGAATTTGGCGGGCAAAACGAGATTGCGTCTGTGTGTGGCCGACCCGTTCGTTACGGAACGGAATACGGAATTCCGAAACGGAATTCCGTATGTAGTGTGTGACGGACCTTAACGATAAGTAAATAATTTCTTAAGCTCGATAAAAGGTAGCTACTCCGGTTATATCTACCTACAGACTGATATTTGAATTTTATTTTAGGTATAAATTTAGATTAAATTCATAGCCAGCATAAATTATATGATAATCAAAATTATATAATAATTAAAACAGCTTACCATTTGTTATTTTGTAATTTATTTTAATACATTCATACTTCTCACTTCACTATTTGGCAGGTACTTTAACTCTTCACAACAGATATTTTAGCTCTTCATCAGTCAATCGAATAATAAAGGGTAAAGAAGGCGCTGCTTTTTCGACGCCATTTTGACAGTTGACATTATAGTAAAATTTTAGTCTATTTTAGTAAGGTGTAGTGTAGTTAGTTTTTTAAGTTGATTTTTTAAAGTGTTCCTAATTATTGCCAAAGTTTGATTCTTATTATTTTTTTCCTAATATATTAGTTATAGTATACGGACATAGTGTTTTTGTATTTTCCTCCTCCTAGTTTCGGTTTTATATTACCTACCTTGGCGTAATATTTTTCTCGTAGTTATATATGCCAAACCTGAAATATCAACAACGGACAGGAAAATATTTTTTTTAAATAGAATAAGGATTACAAACGAGCGCACAGTCCAACTAATGGTAATTGAGAAAGTACGCATTTCTCCTCGATTAAGAATCAAAATGCAGATGCATTGTCACCCCTGAGAACCAGGACGGAATGATATATTAATAAAAAGTGTCTCCGGTTTTGTACTCGTACTCCCGTCATACAAAGCATTGCAGTATAATATTTTAACGCTTGTGTCTGCAAGCGCTAGATACCTCCCCGGTCAAACCGACCTTTTTGTGCTACAACTCTAATTTAGATGGTGCATGGCTCTACCACGTATAAAACGGTGTAAAATAGACAATACCGTTTAGTATTTCGACCGCAAACCTGGTTATTACTACAACGAAATAGCCCAGTGTCTAACAATGGGATTTTAAGAACTGTTAAAAATATAGAAATTATTTTTAAATAAAAAAATAAATTTGTAGTAAGACAGAGGTTAATTACATTACAATATCAAATGAAAAATTTATATCTAAAATACGATCTCGACTGTATGCAGTAAATTGGATGCTGCCAATTTCTTCAAGTTGAAGCAATGTTCGAACGAAGACGCCATGCAATTTTCGACTATCGAACTTCACAAATTAAGCAATTCCTATGCAGAACTAAGCTTCATACAACGTGGTAAATTTTGGTAACGAGGCAACCCTACGCTCTAACTTTAGAAGTAATCCCACCCTAGAGTATCCAGGGCTGAAAAATAACAAGTGTTTGTTCAGTCTCGAGGCACTTCTACAACTTCGGACAAAGTTAATTTTAAAACAACGGGCATTATATTTTTTGTTGTTTGTGTTTTAACTTCAATAATTTTGTGTTAGGATGAAATAAGATTTTTTTTGATTTGGATGCAATTAGACATGTTTATAATGCATAAGTAAAAAACGAAATATCAAATTAACCATAACTACTTTTGATCTTCTCTGTAGTGAAGTAAATTTTGCTCCAATGGCCGATTGTACGGTCAGTACGCGAAAGGTTTTCAACCAAATTATTATATTATTCCTTAAGTCCTTGACTCTTTTCGGTCCTTTTTTGAAGATAGTATATTTATTGAAGATAGTACTTCATTCAAGCTCAGGGTCAGTGTCATAAAAGAATTTCATTATAGTCCTCAGAAGTGTAAATGCATTTTTGGTCTTCGCCTTCTTTGTTTTGGAGGCGTGACCATCATATTAGGTATATATCGTTTATGTTGCAGCATGAAAAGGTTACTTGACCGGGGTAGGGTCGCGCTCTCACCGAATACCAATAGCATAAAATAGTATCTTAATACTGCTGTGTTTCTATAGTGAGTGTAGAGAACCGGAAACCGTTTATCTGGAAACTAGGCATTCCATCTCAGTCTCAGGGGTGACAACGCATCTGCATTTTGTTTCTTAATTAAGGATAGATGTACATGTCAATGGGTCACAGCATCCACTTACCATCAGGTGAACTGTGTGCTCGTTTGTCACGATTATTCTATAAAAGAAAAAATTCAATAAGAATTATTATAATATAACATAATTTTTATTATAATAAATATAAATGCCAGCAGGAAGTGCATTAAAGTATCTGCACGGGCGACGTAATGGCTCTTTATCAATTCATGTAAAAGTTCAACAGTTCAACAGATATAGGAATGGCGCGACACAATTAAAATAAATTTCAATCTCTATCAATATTGACAGAGGAATATGAAAACATGAGCAATATAAAAACCACTGTTCTCTAAAAGCATAATTATGTGTGAATAATTTCCATTACATATTTCGTTACGTTTTCCGTTATCGTTTCAGCCTTTCAAAAGTTCAGTGCTGAATGTAGCCTTTCCCCTTTAGATTGATTTATAGGGGGTATATTTGCCTCACTTGCCATGCTTGGTAGTATTTTATCGTTATTATTGTACTGTCCCAGTCCAATCACAAGTCCTCTACTGGACACAGGCCTCCTCCAAGAAGTGCCACAAAGCAAGGTCCTGAGCTAACTATTACAGTTTATACTCGTAAATTGAATATTACGATCAGATTATTTTAAACGTAAACCTTGACTTTTAAAATGCTTATGAAATATATATTTAATCATTTTTAAATATTTTAGATTGACGGCTCTCTGCCACTGAAATGAACTGAGCCTTTGTGTGCCGCGTTGCGGGTCAGTGGGTTCGTACATGGAACAAATTTAGTTTACGTATAATTGTTCCAGATCTGGATATTGGTCCACGTTTAATATATTTATGTAAAACGCCTTCATAATAGTAAACATTTTTTAAAAGAATTTCAAAACTTCTTTTCAAAACTTGACTATTCCACTTTCTGTATTTAAGAAAATAATTTTTAGGCATTTTACCCGAAATTTTGTTACATTATTATAGACGACAAGATTATTCATTGCTTTGTACAGGATTCAAATATTTAGCAGTAATATATTTTGAAAATATCCAAAATTTGAAATGGAACAATTTAATTTAAATATTATATATAATAAAATAATCAAGTTTTAAGTGCTATATAGCAATAATCATGTTTTGAGTCAAATCACTGTGGATTAACCTTTATTTGCTGAAACTGATTAGATATCAGAAATCTTATTTTGAATTAAAATAACCTAAGGTTCATCTTTAAATAAATTAAACTAAAGAAAATTATTATAGTATGTTTACTTATTTTTAAATTTTCACAGCCATTTCATGGTCAAGGCAATCACACTGTTCACGAGCAATGAGCATTTTCATCATCACTTTCAACTTTATTGTTATCAATCATTATATTGACATACCAAGAGAGCTCCTGGTTTTTAGCCCACTTCTCGTCGAATTGTTTAACAAACAAACTTCCCACATCATATTCCTTTTTTAAATTCGGATTCTTTTGTATTGCAATTTCAGTTAAAGTAAATTTAAGACGTTTTTGTCATTTTAAAATATCTTTTTTTTCTTTTTTCTTTAAAACCCTTTTACTTTTTTACTTTTGTCTTTAAAACCCTTACACTTGAATTTTCTTCTATATTGTGAAGTAGCCTACTAGTTTTCATACATAAATTGTAGGAAAACAAACATCTACACTCGGTACAATAGTTTTGCCACACAAATATATTGTTCCGTGCGAGATTCGAATCCGCGGCCCTCAACGTTCAGTGCTAAGCTACTGCGCCATGGAGCCGCCAAGCACATCCGCCACCTACATATAGTTTTCATGTCAGTTTTGTAATAATAATACATTTTCAATACGCCTAATTATTTTTCTTACTGTACCTACATGGGTTAAAACATTATTTCGATGTGCGTGTATTCCACAGATTATGTCATTGTATGAACGAAGGCTTGCACCGACGGACAACATTCTCTTAACGTTTAATATCGCGTGTCTAATTAGAGGTAAAAATTAAGTTGTTTTAATTAAAATGGCAGTTTATAAGTTACAAATTCCTTTCCGATGTTATTTTCGGGTAAACCCGCATTTTTCAAACGAACAAGTTGAGGAAATAATTATATGTATAATTAAAGGCTCCACCAATAAAACTTACGATGGAAATATTAATTAATTTCAAACTTTTATTTGTATACGAGTTAAAAATGTTTTCATTTTTATGTAGTACATAGTTATGAAGTACCACGTTCTCTGATATTACAAAAAAACTTTATATTAGTATTTAATTAAGTACGTATATACCTTTAATATCATTTTTATATGCAATACGTTGAACGGAATCTATTTCGCAGAACATGATATTCATTAATTGATAATATTAAAACCTATTAAATACCACCATAGGGTTCCCCATAGATTGCTTTATAATACGATACTTGGTAAAGTTGCCAGCGCAGTTTTTTTATTTTTTATTTTTAGTCGTTATTAAAAGACGCTACTGCCCATCTCCTCATTTGTTTCCCTGTGCAGTCTCTTACGACACCCAGGAGATGGTATGGGGTAGTGAATATTCCTTGTGGCGATGTAAGAGTATTATTACCACATTAATAATAATAATAATAAGGCTGGTACGAAACAGTCAGTTTGCGACGTGTTTTATGCACGCTTGACCAAAGTGCTTAACAGCCTTTTGTCCGGTGTGAATAAACACTTGCATATAACGGTTGGGTCATGCCTGTCCTCATGTATACCTTTGGCATACTCAGGTGGAATCAGACTGAACTTAACGCCCTGCATAGAAAAGTCCGCACTACCATGACGTCCCATAGGATGCATCATCCGAGATCGTCGGTAATGAGGCTGTACTTGCCGCGAAAGCATGGTGGGCGTGGCTTCCTGAGCGCGCTCACCATGCATAATCGCGAAGTGTGCAGCCTCCGTAATTACTTCCTGGTGAGATCGGATGATCCATTCTATAATGACGTCATTTCTAGTGATAAAGAACTTACCCCTCTATCCTTAGCCAACGAGCAATGGCAGGACCCGGCAGTACAAAGCATTTCCGACCGGGAGACCGTATGGAAGGAGAAGGAGCTCCACGGGAGGTACTACAGGGTTCTACATGATCCCTTCGTAGATACAGTCGCCTCCCTCAACTGGCTACGTTTCGGTGACCTTTTTGGGGAAACCGAGGGTTTTGTCTGTGCAATACAGGATCAGGTTATTAAGACCAACAACTATCGAAGATACATCCTAAAGGATAGCACCATCGACGTATGTCGAGCTTGTCGCCATCCCGGTGAGTCAATTAGGCATGTCATCTCCGGTTGTTCGGCGCTTTCTAACTCTGAGTACTTGCACAGGCACAACCTAGTAGCCAGAATTCTACACCAGGAGCTCGCTCTGAAATACGGTCTCGTGGATCGGAAATTGCCGTATTACAAGTACTTACCGGAAGCCGTGCTCGAAAATGACCGCTCCAGGCTCTACTGGGACCGGGCCATAATTACAGACAGGACTATTCTTGCGAATAAGCCCGATATTGTGCTGATGGACCGGGCACAGTCAAGGATATTTTTGGTCGACATTACCATTCCGTATGACGAGAACCTCGTGAAAGCCGAAACAGATAAACGAACAAAATATCTGGACCTGGCTCACGAGGTGACCGATATGTGGGGTGGTCTGCCGGCCGAAATTATTCCTGTAGTCGTCTCTGCGAATGGGCTAATCCCAGTCAGCCTCTCGGGTCATCCGAGGCGACTGGGACTCCGTGACGGACCGCTCCGGGCTCAAATGCAGAAGGCGGTGCTCCTCGATACCGCCCGCATTGTCCGCCGGTTTCTTTCCCTTTCCTCCTAACCCTCGGCCGTTTGGTCTCCCCTGCCGAGGGCTTCCATCTGGTTGGGCTTTTATTTATTTATGTATTTTTGTATTTATTTTATTTTATTGATATTTATGTATATTTATCGTTTCATTTTAGTTTATAATTATATATTTATATAACCCAACCAGATGAGAAAACTGTGTGGATACCCCAAATAATAATAATCTTTATTGATAAGTCTCTGATTGCTGAACTAGGAATTATACCTGTATATCAGCAATCAGCGCCCTCTCCCAATTTTATGACCTAATAAATTAACAATAAAGGTTCAAAATAACAAGAATGTTTCAAAAGGTATAAAAATAATATACCTACTACTTAATTTACGTACTAACTGTGTGTTGAATGTGTTGGGGTTCAAGTGTGCGTGTGTGTTTGTGTATGTGTGGGTGTGTGTATGTGCGTGTGCGTGTGTGTGTGTGTGTCAGCAAGAGTATTTTTGCGTTTGTGTATGCATGTGTTTTATATGTACTTATAAATAAGTGAAAATAACAGGATTCATCAAGCGGATTACATTATAACATTAAACAAGTCCTCCGTTTCTTCATAATTTAATGATAAAAGCCATTTTTCTACCTTAGAAAAATGGCACATTGTTGTGTTATGTTATGTTGTTACAGCCTATATACGTCCCACTGCTGGGCACAGGCCTCCCCTCATTTCTGAGAGCGTTTTTTAGGGCAAGGAAGTGTCCGCCGCGCTGGCCTAATGCGTGTTGGCGAACTTCACATGTCTTAGTAATATTTCTTATCTTATTCCTCAGACATGCAGGTTTCCTCACGATGTTTTCCTTCACCGCCAAGCACGTGGTAAATCAGCACTTAAAATTGCAATTAACAATTTCATTGGTGCCGGCGGGGATCGAACCCGGGTTACTCGCGTTCTGTTATATTACAGCGAGCGTTAACCATCTGAGCTACCACGGATCATCATTATTACCACATTATTATTAATTAATTCATAACAGTTTATCGAAGCATACTGTACATACCCCTTTCTATAGATTGTCACACAACGGGAATATTCGCTATAGTTTATCTTGGCAATGTTGGCAGCCACAGTTTTTTTATATTTAGCCTTAACCTCAAAAGGTTAACAATGCGACTGTATATTTCTCTTTTTTCTTTTGTAGCTATGTTACTCGACATCTTCGTCTATTTTGGACCGATTTTGATAATCTTAATTTTATTTTATAGGGTAAGTCCGGGGGAGTTGGCCATAGTTTTTAAAGAAGTCATTAAAATAAAAACTACAAGGATTAATTAACAAAAATCAACTTTTTATTAAACTTTCAACAAACTCTAAGAACATCACAACATTTTTTTGTCATTTTAACATGATCAGTCTCATAATTTACTTTTTTTAAAATCACGATTGGCCATCTCTCCCGTAGTGCCCGGTAGAGATGGCCATAGAAGCAAGGGAGAGATGGCCAGTTTGTTAAATTACATTTTAATCACTTTTCCCTTTAAGTTTTTGAGCCTTAGCTCATTCTTCTTTTTCTATCCACATGATGAACACTTATCATCGAATTCGGTGCAATTTTCATGTACCCACAGTTGGCATATAACGCATTGAATCCAATCTTCGATGAGTTGCGTTTCGTAATAATTTTCTCCACAACCTACACAGTTATCCAATTCTCTGTTTCCATCTTCTTCATCAGATGAATTACATAATATTAGTTCTTCATTCTCATCGCTACTTTCAGATAACTTTCTTAATGATTTTCTCTTTCTTGGTGTTTGGTTGGTTTTATCACAATTTTTTTTCCTTTTTAACGTCTTTTTTGAATTTTTTTTGTTCCCTATTTTTTTTAAGCGCTTCCTTAAATTTTCTTGTTTTGATGTGATTCTCTGAGGTTAAAAGCATGCTTACCTGTTTAGTATGTTTGCGTACTTCAATAATTTTTTGTGGAACTGGCGATATTTGCTTTAAAATACGTGTTGGAGTCAGATCTGGCAAATCGCTTCTTGGAGGGAATTGTTCTGACATTTTTTTAATTACTGCTGCTGAAGCAGTAGCAAATAATTTTTTAGGCCTTCTTGTAAATATCTCAGGACTTGCGTTTAAAACTATTCGCCCAACAGAGCTATTTGGCTCAGCGATTGCAGGTGATATGTCTTGTCGCACTTCGAAAGTATTTGGAACTAGTTCCAGATTAGCAGAAGCTATGTTAATAGTATTTTCTTCTTGCTCCTCGACCATAACAGTGGCTGTACACTCATTTTGAGATTTAGATATTTGCTTTGTCAATTCTAGGGTAAACGCGTAATCGGGAATTGCAGATGGATTGAAGGGGTGGACACCTGTAGCTTTAAAACCCGCAATTGCATTCTCTGCAGAAGCTGCCTTTCCCCACGCCTTATTAAGCAATCTTCCAAATGATAATCGTGTTATACGACGACCAGGATTTTGTTTTAGCCAAAGTCGACACTGCTCGTAAAAATGAGTCTTCAGTGATTTAAACACCGTACGATCTAGTGGTTGGAGGTAGTGAGACGTGTGGCTTGGCATTGAAAGTAAGGTGATGTCATTGTCCTTTGCATATTCCAGCATTTCCACAGAATTACAGTGAGTTGAATGACCATCTAGTAAAAGAAGTACTCTTCCAGCTGGTTTCCTCGGAACAAAATGTGTTTTCAACCATTCAATAAATAAATCTGAGGTAATGTACGCTGATTTTGGGGACATGAAAAGTTTCGATCCCGGTGGCATCCCATCCTCAAACTCAGGTTTTTTTGTTTTTGCCTTTCATGATACAGGCAGGTGGTAAAAATGTACCTTCAGCATTGCAGCAGACTATAACTGTAATCGTTTCTCCCTTTTCAGTCGAAGTAACTGTAGATACAGCCTTGATACCCTTTTCAGCTAGAACATGCCCTGGTCGATTATTAAGCTGAAGACCAGTCTCGTCCATGTTGAAGATACAACTCGGTTTCAACACACCATCGTCTACTTTCAATATGCTTTCAAGAAGCTCAAAGTAAGCGTCAACCTCCAGTTTATTCATAGCAGTTGATCTAGCTAAAGATACTCCTTCTGACTTTCTTAATGTAATATTGTGGTTTCTTCGTAAAAAACCTTGCAACCAGTCATATCCTGCTTTCTCAGTTTCTCTATTAATTCTGTGATTTAAATTCAATTGCTCCGCGAACTGGTACGCAATCTTTCTGACGTCATTAATAGTCAATGGGAAACCATTTTTTGCATAGTTTTAATATGGTTAGCGAGTTTCTTCTCATTCTTTTCGCCGAATATAGAGGATGGTCCCATTGGTCCTTTTTTGTCATTATTTTTCTTGTATCGCCTTTCGAAGGTCTTCCTTGGTACTTGATAGGTTACTGAAGCTGCGTAGATAGTCATTTCACCTTTTTTAACAGCGTCTATGGCCGCCTTAAGTGACTCTTCACTCCAGTTCCCTCGTGAGCTGCATGCTTTTCTTTGGTATTTATTTGGCATCTAAAAATAAAATATTGTGATATGAAATACTAAAGCCAAATAAGTATAATAGCACCATAAATAAAGAAAAATATATCAAGTTATAATAATATAACTTTCACCATTACGTATTACATATATGGTAGGTGTGAGATGGCCTTATGGTCATCTCATACCGATTATGTATGGCCATCTCTCCTAATCAGCCGGGATAGATGGCCACACATTATTTGTAGAAAAATATAAACAACCCACGCGCCATTTTGAGATTATGTTAAAGTGTGGGTCATTAACTGAGCACTTAACTTAAAAAAAGCACTTACTTTTTATGATGTCTTTTCACCACACTGTATAACGTAAACCCTTTGAAAACTTTAGGCTATATACAAATAAATGTAGGTACATTTTACTAACTTTTTCGATTTTTTTCACCGGAGATGGAGCGAAATGTCGTTCCCACGCACAGCACAAATTGAACTAACGAGAAAGTAGTGCCATCTAGTAAGTGTAACTATGATTTTTTTTTACTGGCCATCTCTTCCTTACGGCCAACTCCCCCGGACTTACCCTAGATTATACTTCAAAGATGGTCCCATATAAATTTGAAGAAAATATAGGTTATGATGCTTTGAATTAAACTACTTATTTATTTATTTAAACTTCATACAATGCGATGTATAAGCGGACTTATTGCTGTCGAATTTTTTAGATGATGTTCATTCATTCCTTAATTCACTCAAAAGGGTAAAAGATTATATTTCAATAAAAATTAAAAGCCGATTTCAACAACTTAAAAAAAGATTAATATAATTTTACATTCTGAAATCGGCTTTTTAAAATGTTTCTATACCTACAGTATGTATGTTTCTAGTCATTATTAGGAGTCATTATTAGCTGTTCATCTACCACTGTCGACGACACTGCCCCTCATGGTCCCGGGGGTGTCGTAAGTTCACGATAAATATTGATAACTCCAAGAAACTTTTAATTTATTAAATGAACTATTAAAAATGACAGACTAGTGTTTCGGGGCGTTTAGTAAAAAGTTTAAATTTTGTAAAAGTATATCTACGTATAAAATTACAAATTTAACATGTTTACCCAAAGTAATACGATCCTATTCTAATATAAAACAAAAATCTTATAGGAGACTGAATTAGTTCAAATAAGTATAGATTTTAGTTAACAATTTACCTTTAATAGTAATAACAACCTAATAGAAGACTCACAATTTGAGTTTGATGTCCGATTTAAAACATACGGAAATATAAAAGCAACATAATAACGCCATCCCGCCATTTTTTCGGCTCCCCTAAAATTGTGTTTTGTTATTTAGACATTAGGGTCTAGTTCATTCAGAGATTTGTGAGTTCCGAGATGTGGTTGAAGAAACAGCATTTGTATGGGTTATAATTTGAATAAAGATCAATTTAAATGACACTACTAGTACTAGTATGTCGATGCATCTAGAATTCGACAGCAACATGATTTTCTGTTTAATAAGCGCACACCTGGCTTAAGGAACTACCTACTTTATGTTTGATTTAAATCTTTAAATGATTAATAAAAATTTAAATGTTATAAGAGTAGATAAAATAATAAGTTTTACGCATATTTTTTAATTTATATAGTAATAGATAGTACAAAAATTTCCTACAAGATGAATATGTCATTTCATGAATATTTAGCGTAAATATAATCTGCATGATTTACTTTTCCGTAGGAAACACCACAAAATTTCCATTGTGCATGTACTTTATTTCTTTATAATATACAAAAGCGAGTTGAGTGAATTTTCTTTTCTAATTTTTATACAGGTACATAAATATATTCATAAAGTAGAGCTCATTATTCTATCGTTTATTCATAAAAGATTTCCTGTCACGTATTGTTTAATTTAATTGTAATTTGATTGTACTGCGATTCCAAAAAATTCTTTGGCCGTAATCCACCATTTGAATAAAATATTTAACTGTTCCAAGCATAAGCATTTTAATCTAAGCATTATTACCTATTTGGTGTAGTATTATTGGTAGTAGTATTGTTGAAAAAAAAAAGGTTAAGGGCCATGTTTTTTGACTTTTTTCAACAGTAAACGTGTGAAGGGCCATAATGTTCATAATAACGATAATTTGAAAAAATAATATTACACCAACTTCTAGATACCTAGGTAATATAGGCAAAGCTGTCAACTAAAAAGGAGGTAATCACATTAGTGCTACAACACTTACTCATTAAATGTTTGAAATAACCAGAATAGCGTACACTTGTCCTTCTCTTCCGATTCTAAACACGACGAATCGAAGATAATCTTCAAAACATATTACCAGTAATACCTTTATTTTATAGAAGAGGGGGCAAACGAGAATGCCGCTCACCTGATGGTAAGTGACTACCGCCGCCCATGATCAACCACAACACCAGGGGAGTTGCAGGTGCGTTGCCGGCCCTTTAGAGAGTAGTAAGCTCTTTTCTCGAAGGTCTCTAAGTCGTATCGGTCCGGAAAAGATGGCGATGGTAAACAATTGTGCAAAAGTGCCTTCAAACTGAGTACATAAGACAAAGGGGTTCTTTTAAGCGGTTAACGCGCAAACTTATGTCTTCTGGGGATTGAATTGGACTAGATTTAGTCGCCCCCAATCCGAGACTTTTTTAGGCAAAAACTCGACTTCAGACACAAGTTTTCCTGAGAAATAGCACGGCCGGTGTATAAGGTATCACCAGTGCTGTCGTTTGCATAGCAATGAATGATATCAGTTTGCAACATATCATACTGATATGCAGAAGAAACAGTGTTGGTGGTAGCACAAAGCCTGTGGAACACCAGCGTTAATAGGCTTGTAATCAGAGCATGCACCGTCTACTACGACCTTGATGTTCCGATTAGCAAGAAAAATAGTGACCTAATCGTCCAATTTTTCGGGAAGCCTATAGGAATGGAGCTTCGAAATTGAAAGACTATTGTAATTATCTCAAATACAAAATCATATAACATAAAAAAACAGTTATCATTAGATAATGACTTCGATAGATTAAGTTTTTCATACTTTTCTGCACCAGATCGTTAGAGCCTACAGATGGACATGGGCCTTATGCCCATCCTATTGTAGGACAAAATATTCACTTCAACGTGATCGTGACTTTAATCATTTTGTCTTGGCGGGAGAACTGGCGATCGTACTTAGTAACAGACGAGATAGTAGGTATCTACATTTTTGACGCTGTGTATTTTACGCCTCGCGTAGTATATATCATGATTTCCGATACTGGCGTAGTACCGCCTTCTATCGGAAGTCATGATATATATTATGATGTATCCTACAGTTGTCTCTTACGATCGCCGCGGGACAAAATCAATCACAGACATGGAAACTATTATTATCTAAGTGTTGTAATAGGAACACTTAAAACCTAATTTTATGAAGCTAACGCTGCTCAGAAAGATTTTGGGACAAATTTAAATATGGTACAAACAAAGATTAGTCTAAAATAAAAAAGAATTAATTTTTTTATCTTTATTTTATATTTAATATTAATATCGATAATTATTCATATATGCATCACTAGTAAAATATATCCTTTTTATAGAATAGGGTGACAAACGATTACAAAACCAAATGCAGATGCGTTGTCACCCGTGAGGACTAAGATAGAATGCCTCGAAATACAGCAGCATTAAGCTACTATTTCACACTGGTTTTCTGTGAGAGCGTGGTCCTTCCCCGGTTGAGCCGACCCATTCGTGCTACAACTAGGTATACAATTTATATAGCTGCAGCATGTCTCTACCACGTATAAAATACGCTGTGTATTTTACGCTACTTAAATGAATCGCGATATAACCATACTAAAGTAAAGAGTTCAATGCACCATACTGCATTGGTTTTTGTTTAGGTACCTATAAGTATTATATTTAATGATATACTTAATATCATATAGATAATAACATATAAACACATATAATTACATCTCAGATAAGTAAATAATCATTCTTCTTCTAAGAAATGCGATGTCGCCTACACCCCCTGGACCGATCTCTTACGCCATCAAATTCTTATTCCCCAAGAGTACGAAGAAAAGTTATCGACCAAACATTGTAAGTAATGTTTACCAACAATACTTTAAAAGTTGTAACACGCATGCGTCAATTTCTCTGTATGCGTGACTATAAATAGGGTGTCTTGACGCCCGCCCGTCCACGGTTACGCAACACCTTTTCATCTAGAAACATCTTCGAATCCCATACATCTTTTGATTTCCTAAATGACATGTAGGAGGAAATCAGAACTATTTTAAGACATGTTATTGTACCGTGCTTTTCAATAATTCTCATCATGTATAATATGTTTAAATAATTTATTATTTTAGTCTTGTTAATCATATGAAACAAGACTATTGAAGTATGATATCTTATCCGGTATCCTTATAGTATCTACCTATTACCCACGTAGTACATAATAGCTCAATGAACAAAATAAAGAACAAGGGTTAAAATTTTCAGATTAATAGAAAGCGCTATGTATAAAATGTTTAGTATAAAATATGTAGGTATCATAATAGGTACATACAGAT